ATCCCTCCCCTCTCAAAATAAATAAACATTTAAAAATTGCACGATTTGACGAGTTTTGACATATGTACATACCCATGAACCTACGACCACAATCAAGGTGCTGAACATCCCCATCACCCCAAAAGTTTCCCGGTGCCCCTGTGTAAACCATCTGCTCCTTGCCATATCCCAGCCCCATGCCACCATGCTAACCATGGAGTACTTTCTCTTCTCACTATAAATCACTTTAAATTTTCTGGAATTTTATAGAAATGGAATCATACAACATGTACTCTTTTCATCTGGCTTCCTTCATTGGGCATCATTATTTTGAGATTCACCCCGGTCGTTACACGTACCAATAGTTTGTTCCTCTTCAAACTATTCCTCTTCATTGCTCGTTTTATTTATTATATGTGTATCAGTCCGTTTACCACATTTCCCTGGAAAAGAACATGTTTTCCCCGGCTTGGGGCCATTACAGATAAAGCTGCTAAGGACATTCGTGTGCACGTCTCTGAGTGACAGGCGCTCTCCTCACCCGAGGGCGAGTGCCGACGAGTGTCACTGCTGAGTCACGCAAGTGTATGTTTAACTTTTTCAGAAGCCGCTGCAAACCACTCTCCGAAGTAGCTGCACTGTCTTGCGTCCCCACCAGCAGGCTCAAGAGTCTCAGTTGCCAGGGTGAGTCTTTTCGATCTTAGCCGTTCTAGCTAGATGCCCTGGCCTTTCTTAACCTGCGGACTGGTGGCCCCTCAGCCATTCTGGAGCCCAGCGTTTTCTGTGTAAAATGGAGGTAATCATAGCAGCTGTGAAAGGCGGTGAAGGTAGCACACAGGCAAACACGCAGCACGGGGACTAGCAGGTCGCCCATGTTTCCTGACAGCTGGCTCTTATTACAGCTGAGTCCAGCCGTCCCACGGTCTGGCCTTCCCTCAGGACACACCTTCAAACTGGATGGTAAAACGCTGCCTCCCTGGTGTGGGGTCCATGCTCCCAGCCTGGAGGAAAAGCCAGAGCCGCAGTGAAGGCGTCAGCACTATGCTGGGTGTTGTGAGTGGCTGAGCCTTAGAAAGCCTGGGGGTGAGCAGGTTAGCTTTTTCTTTCTACTTTACATATGAGAACGGGCCTCTCTGGATGGCAGTCACAGCAAGGAAGTGACAATGTTTGCAGCTCCTGCCATGAGAAATGAAAACTGGGATCTCCTTCTGCTACTGCTGGCTCATGTTGGATATAAGCCTGCTGGTACTGACCAGGCCTCACAATATTCCGTATCAGACCCATATTCTGAACACAGATACCTCATAAGGAAAAGCATATTCCTGCCTTTACAAAAGAGATTTTAGATGAAAGCTCTGTGGGTGATTGTCAAAAGGCTCTTCCTATGGGCCTTGCAGTTCCGAGACTTAGGGGGTTAAGAACACAAGAATTACAATTGAGCCTGGCCCTGAGACCAAGGGCCCATTTTGGGGTTAAGAGCAAAACATAGTTACCACATATATCTTTGCTAATTGGTGAAGCATAACAGTCCCTTCCTCAAGGCCTACTTTCCACAAACACCCTCTCTTACATTGGCAGCTGGGATGAGGATAGATAACAGCAGCTAAAACATAACCCAGGGGCAAAAGACTGAACCATTCAGGGTCCCCATGTCAGTCTCCACAAACAAACCAATTTAGAAACATTCATCCTCTTGAGAGCCAGACAAAATACTCCTAGCTTATCTATATACAATTTGACCTATATGTTATCCTATTTTTCACTAAGAACATTCTGTTATTTCCTTGGTTGGAATAATTCTACTATTGTTATCACAAAAGGCCTCCCATTGTAAGAAATTCCTTTCTCTGACTTCATCTTGTTGCTGAACCTATAAATAAAGACACAAAAACAGACAGGACAGAGATGCCTGCCTGGTGATCAAAAAGAATCTCGGGACTCTCTCACTCTCTCTCTCTCTCGCCAACACCGTCCATCCTTCAGGGACCCCTGGACCTGCCGGAGCCGACTTGGCCTCTGGCAGTCATTGGCCAAGGTCACACAGCTCTTCTTCAGTGGCCGTGCTGGGATTTGAACCTCTGTCGGTCTGATTTGGGGTCCAGAAGACTTGCTAATGGTGTACTTGACTAACAAAATGGCCCAGTCACAAAAGTGCCTCCTGAGGGTCAGGACTATCTTCAGCCAGGTTCCCTGGAAACAGAGCCTGAGGCAGGGATTGAGTACATGTGATTTAAAAAAAAAGTTTTTTTAATGTTTATTATTTTTGAGAGAGAGAGATAGAGCGCATGTGTGTGAGCAAGCCGGGGAGGGGCAGAGAGAGCACAAGACACAGAATCCAAAGCAGGCTCCAGGCCCTGAGCTATTGGCACAGAGCTTGACGCGGGGCTCGAGCTCATAAGTAGTGAGATCATGACCTGAGCTGAAGCCGGACACCCAGACACCCCAAGTACATGTGATTTATCAATGGAGGAAACTGAAAGGGAAGGAGGAAAGCAGGATAGGAAGGAACTGAGCATAAAGTCCTGCTAGGGGGCTGGCCTGTTGTACGTCTGTACGTCTGCTGTCGGCTGTGAACCACTCTGTGGGTGAGGAAGATAATCTCTCAGGCGAGGAGACTTCTGAGGCCATAGTGCTCAGGAGAAGGAGACACAGTAAGCCCTTAGACACCAACAACGGAAGCATCTAGGCAGAGGGGTGTGCTGGCCCTGTAAGGAAGGACTCCAGAGGTTCCCAGAGGTACCCACACACTTCTCACGAACCAAACTCCAGAGAGTGCGGAACATTCACTTCCAGCTTGTTTTGGAGAACTGTCCATTTCTCTGCAAGCAGCATGTTGAACAAACCCGACCTGTGACATAATCAAGACACACCTTTAGTTTTTGTCTCCCAATGTCCCTCTTAATTTGGTAAAGCGACATTTTCTTTGCCACCAGGTGACAACTCATCCCCCGTTACTTTTCTGCTTTGCTCATTCTCAAGAAACAGACAAGTCTATAATCACTTTAGGTCACAAACACAGTAGCAATTTAGAAATTAGAATGTCCGGTAAAGCTATGAATCACAACTCCCAGCTTGATTTGGGTTTAAAGCTTCTCCCCTCAGCCAGCTTGGTCCTGCTTGAGGCTGGCAGCCCGCTGTGGTGGAGAAGGTGAGGAAGGTGGGAAGGTGGACCCCCTCTTTCTCATCCCCGTCCCCACAGGTGGGGCTGAGGGGGCTGGGGAGAGATGGCGAGGGGAGAGGAAGGGTCTCACTTGACCTGTCACCATCCTGACTGGCTTTGAGCTCTCTGGATCTAAGAGACATTTTAATGGGACTTTTCTGTCATGGGATGCTGTTGTAGACTCATGGGGATGGCCAATGCCACCGGCCCTTCTCACCCTTGACCTTGATGGATGCACCTCTCTTCCTAGGGGTCCCTAGCAACTCCTTTCTCAGCCCTAGGAACCTGACATCCAACCCTAGCATTTTTTTTTTTTAATGTTTTATTCATTTCTGAGAGAGAGAGAAAGACTGTGAACAGGGGAGGGTCAGAGAGAGAGGGAGACACAGAATCCAAAACAGGCTCCAGGCTCTGAGCTGGCAGCACAGGGCCCAACACGGGGCTCGAACCCACGAACTGTGAGATCGTGACCTGAGCCGAAGTCGGACGCTTAACCGACTGAGCCACCCAGGTGCCCCCAACCCTAGCTTTTTGGTGCTACCACTCCTCTGTGCTTCCACAAGACCCGAGGAGACAGGACCCAAGCTGACTCCCTGAAGGCACTCCCTGCTCAGGCAGGCCCGGAGGGAACACACAGAGCACTGGGAGTGCGGGCTGACCTCAGCACACCCACACTCTCTAGCTCCTTCTCCAGGGCAGCCGGGCAGCCCATTTCTGCCAACCTCTAGATACTACCCCTGCCCACATCAGACCCCTGGGCACCCACACAGGAGCCACACAATAAACTCTTCCAATTGTACCCCCCTCGAGAGCCCCCATCATTCCATTCCCCTCTTCTAAGAAGATGGCCACCAAAGGGTTGTTGTCCCCTCTCCCCACCACAGGAGAACCACGGGTGGATGTAGGGGCAATAATACATATCAGGGTTTTAAGTGGTCGCAGCCAAATTTTAGCAGCTGTGGGCTTTGGACTGTGCTCTTGAAAAGTTACCACTGGCTGTCACGACAGAGCTTTTGAGCTACACTGTACAAGTCATAGCCACCTCCCTGGGCCTCTGTTTTTTCCTATCTTCATGAAGATGACAATACCCAGCAGGGTCATTATGAGGGCTGAGTGACATATATACTCATATATATGTGAATTTATACTGTTGCCAGAATGAGAGGCACCTGGGTGGCTCAATCGATTAAGCTTCTGACTTCAGCTCGGGTCATGATCTCATGGTTTGTGGGTCTGAGCCCTGCAACAGGCTCTGTGCTGATGCCTCAGAGTCTGGAGCCTGCTTTGGATTCTCTCTCCCTTTCTCTGCCCCTCCCCTGCTCACGCTCTCTCTCTCTCTCTAAAATAAAAACATAAAAAAATGTATAGGGTTGCCAGAACTGACTCTCTAGGATCCCACAATCACAGACCTGCAACTCCATCTCTGGGTGACCGCTAACAAGTGGTTTTCCTTTCCTCGTCTCAGTTTTCCCACCTGTCCAATGGTACTCATAAGAGCCCCTATGTGATAGCATCTCCACAAGATTGGTGGGGTGAATATATATAAAGAGTGTAGCAACAGTGCCTGGCATTTGATAAGGACTCAGTACTGCTGGATGTTAATAATACAGTGGAGGGGGGGCGCCTGGGTGGCTTAGTCGGTTGAGCGTCCGACTTTCGCTTAGGTCATGCTCTCGCGGTTCGTGGGTTTGAGCCCTGCGTCGGGCTCTGTGCTGACTGCCAGCTCAGAGCCTGGAGCCTATTTCAGAGTCTGTGACTCCCTCTCTCTCTGACCCTCCCCTGCTCACGCTGTCTCTCTCTCTCTCCTAGAAATAAATAAAAATATTAAAAAAAATAATACAGTGGAGGGTGGGCTGGCTGGGCTCTTAAGCTGGTCCTGGTGGGGTAGGGGATACGGAATCTCCACCCTTGCTGGTCCCTTACCATTCCAGGCCCTGTTTTGGAAATGCTTCAGCCCAGCTGGGATCTGGGGCCCCTGGGAATAGATAGGACAGCCCATACCTCCAAGCAGTCATGCTGACTCAGATTTAAAAATCAGTGTGTGACCAGAAAAACACAGCTGGGCTCTCACTTCTTGTGGGAAAACAGCACAACTAGCCCCATGCACGTCTTTATCTTAAGCTCAGAGAGGTGGCCAGCCTTATTCTGGGCCCTGATTCCAAGGTTTGTGAGCAAAAAGCCTGGCACACAGAGTAACAGAAGTCTCTGTCTCCTTGAGGCACGCCGGGCCCACGGGTCACAAGCTTCACATGACCCCCTGGTTGGAGTCAGGCATGTCTGGTGCTTGCCAAGCCCTTGACTTCTCCCGGCCTTGGTCTGGACACTTCTCAAGCCAAGTCAGGCTCTGGACGGCTGGTTGGGCAACCCATGACCTCAGACTGGGTCAGGTCCATCAGATGAGCATCTGTTGAAGAGTGTGGAACATTTTGTTCCTTAGAATCCCAAGGGCCAAAGACTATGAAGCCTCCCCATCCACAGTTTTTGCCCCACCCCCACCCCCCACAACTGCCATTTACCCTGGGCAAGTTCCTTGGCCTCTCTGAGTCCGGTTTTCAAATACAAACCAACAAGTACCTGCACCTGCCAGGGTTGTCGTGCGATTCACGTAGAGTGTCAGGGGATGGCACACACATCGGCAGGCCCTCGACAGGGGAAGGTTATTCCTGCAAACAGGGGCGCTGGACCAGTACATTATATATGCTGTGGGGGAGAGCATGGAGCATGGAGGCAGACTGCCTCGGTTCAAAACCCAGCGTACCCCCTTCTGCGTGACCACAGGTGACTTCTCAGAGTCTCCATTTCTTCTCTGTAAAACAGGAATAAAAATAATAGGGTTACGAGGATGCAGTTAGATGAGATGTTACTGGGAACAGTAATAATCACTTAATAAGCATTAACTATTTGTGATTAGTCACACATGTTAGTAATGGTGCTGAAATCACACTGGTAAGGCTGTTTGACAGGATTAACATGGAAGAGAATTCACATTCATTGAGTACCTACTATGTATCAGAAGCCATATATTCAAATATGTATGTACAGACACACACACACAAACACACACACACAGAGTGAGGTAGGTAGTTCTGTTTTCATCTTTTAAAAACTTTGTGTTATCAAACAAATCACAGATGTGGAAAATCATACAAATTAAATTTGTAGCTTAGTGATTATTTGGGGGGCAAACACCCTCGTAAGCAACACCCAGGTCAAGAAATAAAACTTTGCTAGTGACCCCAGGAGCCCCTCCACGCACCTCATCTCAATCATAGCCCTCCCCACAAAAGTAATATAGCCTGACTTTTAGAGTAATTATTTCCTTGCTTGATCATTTGAGTGTGCATCCCTAAGATATTGTAGTTGTTTTGCCCATTAGAAGAAACTAAGCGTGTGTTTTAAGCCATAGATTCCCCCTATATCTCTTTCTTTTCCTTGCAATTTACCTGTTTTGCTGCTTGACCCATAGAGTTTCTCAAAGTCTGGATTTTGTCTCTCAGATCCTCATAGTACAGTTCAACATGGCCCTTTGACCTCTGCATTCCTTGTATATTAGCAGCTGAGTCAGACCCAGTTTCCATCCCTCTGGTGTGATTATAGGTAGGCCTGGGTTCTTTTATCAAGAAGCACATACGTGGCTAGAGTTTGCTCTTTTTTGATATTACCTGCTATTCTGTACAATGGCTGCATACACTAACTCAAGGCAGCTTGCAAAATAGCAATATTGTATCATTTTGCTTTCCTGCATTAATTGTAGTAATTTTATTAGATGTTTTTTTTTAATTTGTTACTTGGTCAACCAGTGGCACAGTTCTTATAGGAAATGTGGGACAAGTACTTGATCCTTTTCTTTTATTTACATAGTTTTCCAAGAATATGTTTCTACGCCATTCTCAGAAGGTGATCCGCTAGTGTTTTGGCTGAATATCATATGAACTTGTTGAAACATATTTGACGCATTTTAATCAATTGCAATGATTAGCTTTGTTGCAGCAGAAATTGTACTATCATCGGGTTGGTTTGTCCATTTGATAGCCTCGATGGCTTAGAATCAATACTAAAACTGGTTCTAGGAGATTGTCCTAGCTCAGACAATCACATGTTTTGTGAATCACATGCTTTGAAAACAGTGACAGCTCAGGCATTTCTGGCAGCCTCTAGCACATACCCAATGCCGAGACTTCTTTCTTCAGAGACTGGATGAAGCTGGGAGGGCAGGATGTATGCAGCCCTCCAAACCAAGATGCAGAGCAAGCTGCCCTTCCTCTGGCGATTTTTCTGCTCTCAAGTGGGGTGGTCATCACAAGTGAACAGACATGTCACGATGCAATGTACCAGAACTCTGTCCCCTAGACATTGGGGACCATCTGCCCTCCATTTTACCCATGAGTAAATGGACCTTTTGGAGGGTTGTTCAGTGTGTGTTACTTCTGAGTGTCCAGTGCAGAAAAGTCAAAGACAGAAGTTCAAATCTCAGCTCACCATGGAGTCATCATATGAACATGGGCAATTTCTTCTTCTCTGAGCCTGCTTCCCAACCTGTAAGAATAAAGAGGCAAAGTAACCTCTTAGGCAAAGTAAAATTTGGGGCTGTCATACAGAGCCAAGTCACACAGACTTGGGCTCAAACCCAGCTCCTTCATTGACTATCTTGAGCCCCTAGACAAGTGGCTTTCCCTTTCTGTATAGAGAAAAGGGAAAGATGTTTCCTCCTCTGTACAGAGGACAATCCTAGCATGCTGTTCACAGGGTTGTAGTAAGGCATAATTGAAATCATACAAGCAAACTATTTAGTACAGTACCTGGTGTATACAATCCTTTGAAATATGAAAACTCTTTTTGTTAATTATCTGAGACTCTTCTAATCCTGAGATAACTTGGTTCCATGATATGTAACACCAAGAGGAACCAAAAGTAATAGCCCTCAATTGGAGGATGGGGCAGGGACTTCCGGGGCATCTCTGAATCTTGTCCTGCGCACCTTTCCCTTGCCCTTGAGACCAGGTTCTAGACCTAGATTCTTCTCCTCCTGCTGGCAGTATCTGGGATTGCAACCTGAATGGTACCACCAATGGGTCCTGGGTCTGGGTGGAGGAGTTTATCCCAATGACTAGCACAACATGGTTTGAAGTGTATTTGAGAGAGAGAGAGAGAGAGAGAGAGAGAGAGAGAAACAGACTGAGTGGGGAAGGGGCAAAGAGGGAGAGACAGAATCTTAAGCAGGCTCCATGCTGTCAGCACAGAGCCTGATGTGGGGCTTGAACTCACAAACGGAGAGATCATGACCTGAGCCAAGATCAAGAGTCTGATGCTAACCGACTGAGCCACCGTCCTTAGGACAGCATGGTTCGGATAGGATCATCCCTTGACCTTTGCCACGAGAGCTGTCATTTGTAAAAATACTTACCGCTTGCCTGGCAAGGGGCAAGGTGTTTCTTCCTATGATCTTATTTAATACGCTTTTTGCCAATGAGGAACCTGAGGCTTTGGAAATTTGAGTGACTTGGCTACGGTCACATGGATGGGAACAGGGTTGCCAGATTGTGGTAGGCTGAATAATGGCATCCCAAAGATAGTGTTGTCCTAATCTCTGGAACCTGTTAATATCTTACCTATGTGATAAAAGGAACACTGAAGATGTGATTAAGTTAAGAATCTTGAGATGGGAGATAATCCTAGATTATCTGGGCAGCCCAAAGTAATCACAGGAATCTTTATAAAAGGGAGGCAGGACACATAACAATAATTTGTTATAACAGCAATAGGAAACAAATACATAGATGGAGGGAGAAAAATAAACCAAACAAAAAAAAAGTCAGGGTGTCCAGTTAAATTTGAAATTCTGATAGGTAATAAATTTTTTAGTATAAGTATATCCCAAATGTTGCACAAGACATACTTACACTTAAAAAGAAATTGTTTATTTGAAGTTCCAATTTAACTGAGTGTTCTGTATTTTATCCTAGAAGTGGTGGGGCCAGAGCAGAAGTCAAAACTTAGGATTCCCAGGCTCCCCCACTTTCTCTAAGAATCTGGGATCTGATTAGAAACTGCCATGCTTTTGCGGCCCTCCTAGGTCAGTTCCCATCTCCCTAGAGCTCCTCTGGCCTCTGGGATGGAGACAGAAAAAGATTGTATAAGGTCATCTCTTAGATACGCCTTTGGGCTTTCAGTTCTCCCAGACCACAGAATTTCTCTCTAGAATTGGCTTTGTGTCTTTACTCTGCTTGAAAGAGTGACCTGGGATCTTTGTCTCAAAGCTGCAGTTCACAAAATATGTTGGTGGGGAGTGGGGGGTGGGGGTGGTGATGGTGCAGGGGATTTTAATGAATGGGGATGGGGCAGCAAAGCCTTTTTCAAGCTACCACTTTCTGAAGGGCTTTATGAGCCCCAAAGCAGGAAACAAACATTCAACAGGGATTTCAAAGCAAGAATCGTGTTACGGATGAGGAAACTGAGGCCAGAGGTAACCTCAGCTACAGACAGATGTCCTCTAGACTGGCATCTCCCCCTTTGCAGCAGCCAGTCCTGAGGGAAGAATCCGGGAATGCTAATTCAGAGGGTTGGAATGCTGGTCTGGGTTGGAAGCCCTTTACTTCATTGATTGCCAGTTTCCCCTCCATGAAATACGGGGATTCCATAAATACGAGGGTGTAATAAGGCAATGGATGTAAAACACCAGGTACAGGGAGCCATGTTCTCGGAAATGGCGGCTTCTTTCCTTGGGCCTCCCTTAGCCCATGTGTACACCCAAAGCCACTCCTGCTCCCTGACCTCCCAACTAGCCTCTCCGCAGGACTGATTCCTCCAGAGCACAGATTTGGCCGCTAGGTGGGGACAGAGGGCCGGCACTGCGGCGAGATGTTGCGCATGAGCATTTACGGGCGGCGCCTCTCCTTCCCACGCCCCGCGTACGTCACTTCCGGCGCGAGGGGCCGGGCCGGCCGGGCAGGGAGTGCGGGTCGGTTCTGCGTGTGCTGCCGGACGAGGCTCCCGCTGCCGATTGACCCGCGCTCCGCCCCGTAGCCGGGCCGGTGAGTGCCCGCGAGCCCGTCTGTGTGTCATGGGGGTCGGGGAGAGGGACCCCTGAGAGGGAGGGATAACCGGAAGTGAAGGGACCCAAGGAGAGAGACCCCAGGAAATGGGGACACATGGGGAAGGGGTGACAGCCGGAAGTGGGGGGCCTCAGAAACTTGTCTACGGGACTTGGGGTCTCTAGGGCTCCAGAAACGATGGCTTCCCGGCCTCTTCTTGGTGGGGTGGGGAGGAAGGCGATGGTTACAGAATGATGGGCTCCAGGTGAGGAAGATTCCAGGCTTCTCCGTAACAAATGGTGTTTGCACCCATCCATACGCCCATCCATCAGTTCATTCTGGAGACTGAGCCCTGCTCTGAGTTTGACACTACCGAGGCCCTGGAGATTAAACAGGAAGCTCCAGGTGGAGGGTAGAGCCCAGCGTGGGGCTCGACACATCCTTGCTCTGCCTCACTAGGTGTGTACCCTCCAGCACATCACTTGACCTCATACCGTCCGCTAATATTTACAGAGCACCGTCATGTGCCAGGCTAGGCCTAGAGCCTGTGGACACTACAGTCTGTCTTCCAGGTAAGCACTGGATTGGGATTACAGGCATCTGTTGGTGACTCCATGGAAACAGCCCCAGGGTGGGTCCTGTGAACCAGGAATGTTGTTTCATTTCTCACTTAGCATTCCTCCGCCAAGCAGATTCAACTCATTCAGCGAATATTTATGGAGCGCAGGTTATGTGTCTGACACTGTTAGGTGCTGGGTTTAGGGTGATGAGCAAGACAGATAATGGATGTTGCCCACAAATTGCCTACCGACAGTTACAGTAGAGGGAGAATGCTATGCTAAAGGGCTGAGGGGAGGCGCCTACCCTGGCCTGGAGTTGAAGAAGTCTTCCTGCTTCAAGCACCATCATCTCTTACCTGGGTTGCTGTCGTAGCCTCTGAATGGTCTCTTTCTTTGCTTCTGTCCTTATCTGCTTACAGTCCATTTGGGAGACAGCCGGGTGATCCTTTAAAATATAAATCAGATCATGTCACTCCACTCAGATGGCCCCCACCAAACTCAACAACAGTCAGAATTCTTACTGGCCCTCAAAGCACTGTACCCTCAGCCCTCAGTACCTCTGTAAACTCATCTGCGAATATTCTCCACCTTGCTCCTTTGGCTCTCGCCAGACTGGCCTCCTCTCTGCCCTTTGAAAAAGCCCGGTGTGTTTCTGCCTCTGGCTTTGCCCTTATTCCGCAGTTACCTGCATGGCTCGCCCCCTCATCTCCTTCATCTTTGCTCAAATGTCGTTTGGGTGGGGCCTTCTCTGACAATCCTATTTAAAATTGCAATACCCAGGTACCTCCAAACCCCTTCCCTGCTTTACTTCTCATCATAACACCTTCACCTGGTAGGTTATACAGTTTATTTCACTTCTAGTCTGCCTCTCCCACTAGAATCTAAGTTCAACAAAGGCACAATTTTTTTTTTTTTTTTTTTTTTGCTGTTCACTTCTGCATCTCCAGTGCCTGGAGGAGGGCCTGGTACATAGGAGGTACTCAATATTTGCTGAGTGAATGAAGTGGCATCTGATTGGGATTAAGGATGAATTAGGATTAGTCAGGTGAAGGACTGGAGGGAGAACATGCTAATCACAGGAAACAGGATGTGAACAAGACAAGAAAACCCAGCTTTGGAAGGAAGTGAAAGCAGCCAGGTGGGGCTGGAGATTAGAATGCAAGGGACAGAGTGGGCAGACCTAAGATTTAGGGGGAGTGACCTGGTCACCGCCCACATGAAGAGACCCCTGAGATGGTCCTTGTTGAGCTCGGGAATCAGGGATCAGTGGCAGTCTGTGGACAAGAGCTTGGGCTTTGGAACTGGGCAGCTGCTACCACCTTACTCCCGAAATATCTAAAGCACCTGTTTTGGCTTTGTTTTTTATTCAATAAATGTGTTAGTTCAGATCTTCCAAAAAGCCGATACCAGGATGAGGTGGGACAGGCAAGAAACGAACTGGAGGCAGTGCCTGTGAAGCAGAAAAGGGAGGGGGGCTGGAGAAGTCAGGGAGAGCCTTCAGACAGTGATCCGAGTCTAGCCCCTGCGAGGCAGGTTTGGGTAGGAGGTCATGGACTGCAGTCTCATGAAAGGTTCAGCCTCAAGGCCGAGTTGCCTGTTAGAGGAGGCCCACGTTTCGTTTCACCCAGTCCCTGGCTGGGGACAGTCTGTGGAAAGTGTGGCATCTACTGGATGGTGGACCCAGGGGCCCGGCAGCTCGGCCACCCGTCAGTTATGCTCCATCCCGGCGAGGGAGCCCGTCAGCATGGTTTCACAGCCATCAGGATAAGTCCTATGCGTATATGGGAAAAAAGTCAGACGGTACAGTGAGAAGTCTCTCTCCCTCCTTAAATGTCCAGTTGTCCGGTACTGCTCCCTACATAAAACCATTGATAAGTTTTCTTGTATTTCCTTCCAGAAATTTTAGCTGCAGTCACAAGTATATATGTATACATTTTAAAAATATAAATGAGATGATTTTATACACATTGTTCTGCATCTTGCTTTCTTTTCCTTAGTGTGTCAGTTCATGAAGGTCTAACTCCTTTCCATGAGTGAATAGTATCCCATTCTTATAATGTTACTTACCAGTCTCTAGCTGGTATGCAGTTAAAGTGTCTCTGCTCCTTTTCCATTATAATCAGCACTGGAAACGATCGTCCTTGTGTGTCTGTTTTGCACACACATGCAAGTATATGTCCTAGAAACGGGATGCTGGGCCACAGGGTGTGTGGTTTACACTGTGAAAGTGACAAGCTGCCCGCTGAAGAGGCCAGGCCAGTTTATCCTCTGACTGACAGTAAGCATATCAGCAAAAATATCAAGTATTTTCACCAATCTGAATTTGAGACTTTTAGTTCATATTCCTTTAATTTCAAGGAGGCGGAGCCACCGTCCCTGCGTCTGTCAGCAAGGCCACGGTGTTGGGTGAGGAGTGTGCGTGCCCCTGTAGCCGCCCGGGGGCCTCGGTGGACATTTGGGCTTTGTTCAGTCTGAGGTTGGACCTGGCATGTGGTTCAGATCCCGTTCGGTGCCGCAGCCGAGAACCGCCACTGTCCCCCCACATGGTGCTGCCCTGAAACGAGCGGGGCTGGGTGATGTTAACTTGGCTTTGGGCTTGGTGTCTTGGCAGGGATCCTGGTAGCCAATGTCCGAAGAAAGTGACTCTCTGAGAACCAGCCCCTCGGCGGCCTCACTTTCAGAGAATGAGCTGCCGCCACCACCTGAGCCTCCGGGCTATGTGTGCTCGCTGACCGAAGAACTGGTCACCAAAGCCCGGGAAGAGCTGCAGGAGAAGCCGGAATGGAGACTTCGAGATGTGCAGGCCCTCCGGGACATGGTGCGGAAGGAGTGTCCCAACCTGAGCACCTCCCTGGACGACGCCTTCCTGCTGCGCTTCCTCCGGGCCCGCAAGTTTGATTATGACCGGGCCCTGCAGCTCCTGGTCAACTACCACAGCTGCCGGAGAAGCTGGCCTGAAGTCTTCAACAACCTGAAGCCCTCGGCCTTAAAGGAGGTCCTCGCTTCCGGCTTCCTCACCGTGCTGCCCCACACCGATCCCAGGGGCTGCCATATCCTTTGCGTCCGCCCAGGTATCGCCCTAGACTTTTGGGGCATGTGCAACCCGGCTGTTTGGGAGATTGTGTGTCCGGCGCCCTCTCCCTCTTATATTTTCCTCTTTGTCTTCTCCCTGGTTCAGTCAAAGCTCTTCTGATTACAAATGACAAAAGCTGCTCAACCCAGCTGAGGAAAAAAGGGAAGAGTTAGTCTAAAGAGACGGGAGCATCCCAAGGAACCAGTGAGCTGGAGCTGTGGCTCTCACTGGCCCCGGCACCCCAGAGCCAGGATCCAGTTCGTTCCTCCATCGCGAACTAAGCCAACCATTCTCCCTGTCTCTACCTGTGTCTGTCAGTCCGTGTATCTCTCTGGGCCACACATTTCTGCTGTCCTGTGCATATCTTCTTCACCCTTCTCTCTGTAGACTGGCTTTTGCTCTCTGCACATGGCGAGAGCTCATATTGCTCAGTGCACAGTCCCGGTTTCTAGCCTTGACAGCCTGGTGGGTTGAGAAAACTGCCCCGGTCACAGGGCAAAGCAGGGCTGCCAGGAGCCCCCTGCCCCATCCCTCCTTTGTGACTAGGTGAGGTAGACCTCAGTGGGGGCTGGGCAGTCCAGTCTGTCCCCCTGTGCCTCCCCCACCCCTCCCTACTTTCCTCTGCTTTCTTAAGCCATCCACTGACTTTAGATTCACTTTTCCATCTTAGCACTTCATGATGTTAATCAGGACATCTTATAACACTTCTCTTAAAGGGGAGCCTGAAGGGGAGTAAAGACTTCCCTGTGCCTTCCTCTGCCTTTAAGATCCATGTCACCAGGTGCTTTGGTCATTTACTAAACCCTCTTTGGAGATTAAACCATCCTTTTGAGCCCTTAGTGTGTACTAGGCACGGTGTTAACTAACTGCTTTATCTACTGCTTTAGGCACTTGTCAGAACTAGGGTGATTTATCTTATTTTTTATTTTATTTTAAAATAAGCAATGCAGTGGAGATTTTAGGGCACCGAGAGACCTAGGAACCAGTCAGCTGTGGTTTTCCTTGCCTTTTTTTTTTTTTCCTGCTACTCCCTTGTACACAACTCATAAGGATATTGCAAAAGAGATTAGCACACTGGTTTTACCTCTTCGCTTGCGTGGTTTCAACCCTTTGCTTGCGAGGTGAATTTTTCCCCATGGGTCTGGAGCAGAGCTAGACAGACCCTTTCCCACCAGTGCAACTTTTTAGAAGGAGGTGTACACGGGAGGTTTTATTGTCAACTGGATATTAGCTTTGCCTTTTTATAAGCTCTTTGGGGACATATGTAACCGAAAAGGATGACACCCAGTGATGTAGAAGCAGCTTTAGTTGGCAGCAACGTTAACAAGCAAGCTGGCAGTGTTTGGACAAAGGTTTTTTTTGTAGGAAGTTTGCGCATATTACATACCCCCTTGGTGGCGGCCATCATGTGGAGTTTTATCTTCCTAAGAAAAGGATACACTGGTCTTATGGGATTTTCTTGAGAACAGTGGTTAATAGTCAAAAGTTGTCATTTCCATCTTCTTCCCAGAGAAAGGAAGGACTTCGTAAATATACAGGGGATATCAAGGCAGCATCCAGACTGGAAAGGGGACTTGGCTCAAACCACAGCACTGGAACGCTGTCTCCATCATTGCCTCCCTTGGCACAGGCTTCATTGTCAGGCCAGCTGTTGCCTGGTGGGGCCCCTGAGTCTCAGGCTCCAGCCTCCCCCCTACCAGAGGGAAGAGGGATCTTTTCTTTCAAAAGGGCCGAGGTCTCAGAATTGAGTCTCCTTGGCTTGGTGTGCTCTGGCTTGGATCACACGCTATGGCTAGCAGGAGGTAAGACCCGCTTTGACCCTTTGCAGTGAGGAGTCAGGAGTCAGGTCAGTTTTACCCAAACTGTCAGGCTAGCGTGGAAGGAGGCAGCTCAGGGTGGTGTTACGAAAATCTGGGTACATCTGTTGGCAGAAGGCAGAGCTGTCCATTAAGGTTAGTATTACTGTCCCATTCTACTTCTGAGGAGATGTGGGCTCAGAATGAGGAAGTAACTCACCCAGGGTTACACAGCTAGTGAGATGCAAACCCCCAGATGTGTGTGACTTCAGAGCTGATACTTTTAACCGCAGCACCAGTGGTGCTTCCATTTCACAATGTGCTGCTGCGTTTGGAATTAAGAACATCAGCTGTTGCTTAAGGTGTCCCATTTACTAACCTAAATAGAGTCACGCCAGTAGAATATCTTTCTTTCCATCTTTAAACAAGAGTTCTAGTAAGGAGATCAATCTTAGCCTGTCGGGTTACTTGTTTGTATTCATCCCTGTAATGTTCTGTCCGTTTCTTATGACCTCAGACAGATGGATCCCGAGCAACTATCCAATTACAGAAAACATCCGAGCCATATACTTGACATTAGAAAAACTCATTCAGTCTGAAGAAACCCAGGTGAATGGAATTGTAATTCTTGCAGACTACAAAGGAGTGAGCTTATCAAAAGCATCTCACTTTGGCCCTTTTATAGCCAAAAAGGTGATTGGCATCCTTCAGGTATGGCCCCTGTCTGTCGTGTGCCTGCTCCGGGACAGTTCTGGCTTTCCCCAGGGCCCCATCCGTTTACTGCTGAACCCACATGCTCCACAAAGCCCACACTTCTCACTCCTATGACCCGAAAGATACAAAAGCATTATGGGAAGAAAAGTAAATGCCCTATTTACCACTCACTCTCATCAGGTTCGCCAGTAGTTTCTGAGGTGCCTTCAGTCTGGGCAAGATCAGCTTCAGGGCAAGAGCCCAAACAACCAGCGAAATGGTTTCTAGATGTTTTGGGGGGCTCTTTGCTCCTGAAGACAGAGGAGCACTTTGAACAAATGAAACTGAGAATCTGTTTTTCTGTCTGACTGCGAGAGCCTGTCATGCCCTCTGGGACCTGGGGCCCGGGAGCCTGTTGGACTGTTTGGAACAGATGCTTTCACATCCCATGTGTTCTGTGTTTCAGAACACAAGTGCTGGGGGGCGCCTAGGGGGCTCAGTCAGTTGAGCGTCTGACTTCAGCTCAGGTCATGATCTTATAGTTCGTGGGTTCGAGCCCCGTGTCGGGCTCTGTGCTGACAGCTCAGAGCATGGAGCCTCTTTCGGATTCCATGTCTCCCTCTCTCTCTCTCCCTCTTCTGCTTGTTCTCTGTCTCTCTCTCAAATAAATAAACATTAAAAAATTAAAAGTAAAAAAAGAACACAAGGGCTGGGAACCAGAAAGTTCCTCCCATATGTGCACAGTGTTCAACGGTTTGCAAAGTGCTCTTAGAGTCATTATAACTCATTCAGTCTACAGGGAGTTCTCCGAGGTAGACAAGGCAAGAATTAGTTTTCCTTTTCAGTATATTTGCTGCCGAAGCGAGCATGAGTGACTTCCTTTTTGATGGATGGGGACACTGCGCCCTCACGTGTGTAGCCTGGCCCGAGTCTCCCACAGTTTTGGCTCCTCGTTCCCCCTGACCAGCCTGCGGGTGCTGTCTCTCATGAGCTATGGTGCACCAGAGATATGGCAGTTTCCTCTCCGAACCCCACAATGTGCATGAGCCCCTGTTGTGCACCAGCACGATTATTTCAACACCAGTGTTTACATTTGATCATTATCAGAAATGTGAATTCTGGCGACGAGCCAATCCTCTGGCTTTCCTTAGCTTCCACCCTTCTTTTGATGCCCCTGCTAAATACTGTGTAGATTCACGTACCAGGATGAGTTTGGATAAAATTTTCTAGTCTTGGAAGATAATCTGGGGGAAAAAAAAGTCCCAGGGTTAAATAAGTTTTGGAGATAGGGTGTAGTATGTCCCTTTCTTGTGAATGTGACCGTAAACATTTGCATGTGAACAGTCCCACAGTTAAGGAGCCCTGTGTGACTCTGTGGTCTGCTATTTTCAAACTTATTTACCTACTGTAGAACCATTTTACATCACACCTAGTACTGTCCTGAGAAATACCATTTGGGCAACACTGATCCTGAAGGCCTGATGTTTGCTACACTGATCCACACAGGCTCTGGCCTTTTTATACACTCCCCCCGCCTCCGCCCCAGAGGAACACCTCTGCACTTGTTCACCTAAGTCTGCGTCCCAGGAGAGACTTTCTCTGAGGCTTATCTTCCTGATTAGCCCCTACTTGGCTGTCTTTGATGAGGCCCTGAGAACCACACCAAACTGATATGGGGGCCTAATGGAGAAGATTTAAATGAGGAAGGCAGGCTGTGGAAACAGTCTGCAGGCACCCTATCTGTTCTAACACCTCCTTCCCTTGCCTCACAGGATGGCTTCCCCATTCGGATAAAAGCAGTCCATGTGGTGAATGAACCGCGAATATTTAAAGGCATTTTTGCCATCATAAAACCATTTCTGAAGGAGAAAATAGCAAACAGAGTAAGTGATGATTCTATTGATACTTCAATTTTTTTTATTTTTTGTTTCCTTATTGGTGACATCAGTAAACTTCTCTTAGTTTACTATTTTTGCCCTGGGATGATTAATCTGGGAAGTACAGAGTTACAGGTAAACTAAATGAACCGTCCTTTCTGTGAGAAGATAAAATTAATTGGAGTATTGGGCAGTGGAGAGAGCAGAGCGGGATTAGTATCACAGAACTTCCCTGCCCTACAGACATTTAAACGCTTTAATATCCTGGCCTGGGCGCTGTGAGCCAACATCGTATTTTGTGCATAAAGACAACACAGAAAAGGGTCGTACCGGGAGATAGTTAAAGAGTTATGGCGATTTCTTATAAACAGCTCCTTGGGGTTTAAAAATGCTGTTTTTAAGCCCTTCCATGTACCTAATTTGTTGTCCTGTTATACCAAGTTTGTGGAATAATTCAAGGTTTATGAGATTTGTGAATCATAGCTTACCCGTTATTTAAGAAAGGATAGATGGCACTTTGAAAGATGGTTTCTGACCTAGAAGAGCCACTTCTTCTCCCTCTGCCTTTCTGAGTACTGCGATTGAATATGATGCTTGGTAGTTTTCTCCTTCTTCCCTTCAGGAATATTGTGGTCCCTTCAAAGATGGTCTTGAATTTTGTACTCTTTTTCAGAGAGGAAACACAGAGAGTTAGAATCTCAAGGTTGCAAGGGAAGGAATTTAAAAACCCAGACAGGAGGCACCTTGCTGGCTCAGTCAGTAAACAACTCTTGAATCTTGGGGTTATAAGTTCAAGCCCCGTGTTGGGTGTAGAGATTAGTTAAAAATAAAATCTTAAAATAATAATAAAATGAAATCCAGACAGATTCCCAGGCCTTTTCCCTGCAGATTTTAACTCCAGTTTAGGGGTGGATAATCCCTGTGGTCCATAATCCTATTCATTTCGTCCTTCCTATGCTCATTCATTCATTCAAAAATATTTATCACTTTACTATGTACAAGTATGTCCTAGATGAACAATATAGACCAAAATCTCTGCCCCCCTGGGAAGCTTGCATTCTAGAGAGAGACACGGACAGCGGATGTGTGTAATCTAGTATTAAAATGTGGTAAGTGCTCTGGAGAAAAATTAAGCAGAGAAATGGGATAGTACAGAACGGGGCAGGGAGTTGTAGCATTCAACAGGGTGGTTAGAGGCAGCATCACTGAGAAGGTGGCCTTGAGTGAGCAAAGACTTGGAACAGAGAGGGAGTGAGCCTAAAGATAGGAAGACCAGCAGTGGCACTGTCCTGAGGTGGGAGCAAATCCGCAGAGGGAGGAGGGAGGCAGAGGACCAGCAGGGGCCAGACTGAGCCAGGCCCCAAGGACCAGCATGTGGACTTGGGCTTCTGGTCTGTGTGAGGTGGGAGCGCTGGCAAGTTGTACAAAGAGGAGCAGCATGATCTGGCACCGAGAAGAGCTGAGATAGTAGGACTGGCTGTGAGTAGGAAGACCAGGTCAGAGTCATGGGGACCCCGGGGGGAAGCCACGGTGCCATGGTTCCAAAGGGGGTGAATCCTGGACATGTTTTGAAGGGCCAGCCACCAGCATGTGGGTTATAAGGAAGGGAAGTAAAGGTCCTCAGGCTTTTTGAGTAACTAGAAGGGTGAAGTTGCCATCCATCAACTGTTCCTTTATTCAGTCAGCAGATGAGCGCCTACCTATCCTGCACGTCACCGATACTGATTAACCTGAGGACACATGTGTTTCCGTTTCATTCCCCTTTAGTTTTTCCTCCACGGGTCTGACCTGAACTCTCTCCACACAAACCTTCCAAGAAGCATTCTTCCCAAGGAATATGGGGGCACAGCCGGAGAGCTGGACACCACCGCCTGGAACGCGGTGCTGCTGGCCTCGGAGGAGGACTTTGTGAGAGAGTTCTGCCAACCTGTTCCCGTCTGTGACAGCATCCTGCGCCAGGCTCTGCCGCCCGAGGGGCTGAGCTCAGATGCACAGTGTGATGATTCCCTGCGGGCCGTGAAATCACAGCTATACTCCTGCTATTAGCCAGTCCTCTGTGAGTGCCACCATCTTTAAATCCTTTCCTTTTGCTTTGTAGAGGCACAAGGAGAATTTGAGGTGCCATGGGGTCAGGCTTGCTCCTTGTCATTGGATTGCAGCCTGTAGGGCTCTGACGGTGAGCCATGGGATAAGCCCTCGGTTACTTGAATTAATCCATGAAAGACACGGAAAATGTCCCCAGCTTTTCCCAAACATTTGGAATCCCAGTTTGCAACCATTAATCTGGAAGCTGTATCTACTTCTTACAGATGTTGGAACAAGAAAAACTAGGACCAAAGTCACTTTGGTACTACATTCCAGGAGAAGGCAACCTGACTGGCCAGTGGGCACACTCCTATGAAATAACTTGGCCGAACCTACAAGGTGGCCACACGTGAGACTGGGAGTTTGTGTCTTTTGCGTGAACACTAACTACAGACCTCTGTTGTACATCAGGAAATTTCTAGTTTGAGGTCCAGGCCCCAGCTGCCATCACTAAGTTTGGAAAGCACCTTAACTCAATTGTGAGAGCATCAGGACATACGCAGCACTTCATGATCAAATCTGGGAGCGAGACTTCAGAGCACCTCTGGGATTCATCGGTTGACTCTTGCAATAGAAACTGAAGTTTTCCCAAACCCATAAAGCCTTAGCCCTGGTTCTCAGTAGAATCATACAGGATCCTAGAGGTACGTGATCTTACTCATCCTGCAACGCTGGATGTGAGGCCTGAGTAGCTAAAAGAATTCTGGCCCAAGAATTAAGAGACCACGGCTCCAGCCCCAGATGTGTGACTGTGGACAAGACCTGGGCCTCTGTGGGCCTCACCTTGCTCATCTGTAAAATGAGCCTGGGTGAAATGATGCCTAGGGCCTTGGCGTGATGTTCTGAGATTTGGTTTAGTGACTGAATGTCAGAGGTTGGTTTTCTGCCTAGAAAAATTGGTTTTCTTGCTACTAGATGCAAGTGGTTGGATCCTGTTGTTTTGTGGTACATCTGGGCCTTTCTAAGAGGCATGTGTCACCATCTGGCCCTGCCTTTAAGGAAACTAGTATGTATATTCTTGGGGCCTGGCGATTACCAACTTCCTTTTTGCAGGGAGGGTTAAACTTGAAAAGGGCAGGTGCGATGACCAGGGTTTGTATGAATTTCTTCTACCCTTGAGGCTCTGGTGGTACCCTGTAAACCTGGTAGCAGGGAATGGTTAAATGACTTGGGATTCTTAAATTTTCGTCTCTGGAAATGATTGCAAGGCAAGTTATTGCTGGACCTCTTTTGAGGCAGCCGCCCTCGCAGACTGTCTCGAGTCTCTGTCTCTGGTGTGGGCGGACAGACTTTATCCAGCGAGACTGAATGTTAGTTCTGCGTTTCAGCACTTTAGACCTTTCCTGTCGAAAATTTAGCCTTAGCCCAAGCATCCAATTAAGTGGTTCATTTGGTGGCTTTTGACCTATTTCCTTTTGTATTCATTCCTTGAAAATCGTGGCATTAAAAAAGTGTCAAGTACTCTGTGTTGTATAAGTACCTTCTCCATGCATTTATTAGACCACCAGGCAAGGAGGACAGCTCAGTTAGGTAGAGTAGAGTACTCTGAAATGCAAAGGCCAGTCTATCATTAATAAGCTCCTCGTCTTTATAGTACTGTTTAAAATGTCAGGAGAAGTTGGAGGTGGAAATTATTCACCTCTGCAGTGCCAATGCCAGAGAAAAACCTTTTCACCATATATACTAACCCTGAATCATCTTGGGACCTCGGAGCCGGAAGTACCCAAATGTGTACCCTTGGCAGTCTCCACTTTCATCTGCTGGTGACAGTGGGACCAGCATTGCTGAAAAGATCAAAAGAGCACAAGGAGGATGACTCAGTAGATGGTTCAGAACCCAACTGCTTGGAGGTGGGAATTGGATAGAGGCTTTCTCAGATCTCAAAGACGAAAGAGAGATTAAAACACAAAACCAACAGCAAGCTAGACAGAAAGACCAATGAACCGTTCGGCCCCACCGAGTTCGCAGAGTTTAAACTCTGCACTACATTCCTGGCCAGTCTTGCCCATGTCCATTTGACTGAAGAGGTTTACGTGTATCTAAGCTCACCTAGACAAGTACGTCAGAGACCGGGATGCTGCCTGTTTCCTAGGCCTCTCCAGTGGGACCAAGGAGCTGTTGCATTCAGCTCCTGAAAGGAGTCAGAGTGAGGATTTGTCTGCCTTCTGCAGTTCCAAAGAGAGATCAAATAGCTTTGACGCCTCAGGAGGTTTGAATCCAGCTGTGACACTGGGACTCCTTGGGTGAAAATCAAGGCAGTTTCTGTGTGGCTTCACCAGGCATTCGTGTAGTTTCCCTGGCAGGGTGAGGGAATGACCCAGGGAGCACCCAGTGAGCCTGACTCGGTAGTGGTAGGGTACACTGATGGGCCAAATGGGCGGACATCCGGAGACCTGGGAGTGTCTTCCTTTAGGGCAAAGTGCTGGCCCCTTTCATAAATACCTGGAAAGTAACTTTTCCCTAAATTCAGGGCCGTACGGCATAGAAAAGGGAAAGGAATAGTGTATCAGGAGACCCGAGTTCTGGCTGTATGTTGCTGTGGCCTTGGACAAGCCACTGAACACCCCTGAATCACATGATAAACAGGATCTACACTCAGCTCTGGACCCTCTGTTTTCGGCATCAATTGGCTGTACTGCCACAGGGACATTATACTCTACCTTTTGGAGGCCTTTCCCTCCCTGCCCCAACCCAATCTGGGTTATTTTATAGGAAATGTGGGTCTGAATCAATTGACCTCTGACGCTGTTAATGCCAAATGAATCTGTAAGCTTAGGTAAGATGGGGGTCTTCTTCCTTCTTATACAGAATCTGGAAAATTGTGTCTCTTCCTGGAATCCTATTCTACCTTCACAGGGAGAGGCTGGAAGAAAGCTAGAGAAACAACTGTGCAACTCTGGCTTCTTGAGTTTATTTGCTTTTGGCAGAAGAGGCTTCATCTGGCTTTCACAAGGAGCCACATAATCCTTAGAGGTTTACAAACACGTCAGCTTGTAAGATGCTGTGTTTTTGCCAGAAAGAGGACAGTAAGAGGTATTTACCCTGAACTCCTGTAAGATACTGAGCCTTTCTGAATTCTCCGTGGCTGGGCAGTTATTTTAAATGCCACCGGATTCTCAGGCCAGTCATGGGATTACTTTTCCATTTGGGGAGGCAGAAGCTTAGTACTGTTGGTGGCATTATTAGAATACTTCATTTTGAAGTGTTCACCTTTTAAGCCTTTTAAGCTTCCTCTTTCATTTAGGCAGTGAAGTGTTAGCTAAGGTAATGATATAAGTGTGGCATGAGATCTGCGGAGACACCACACAGAAACATCTCCACTGTTCGGGAAAGATGTCCGTTCTGGTGATGCCTCTCAGTACTGGGATCTGTTGATTTCATAAACCCATAAATCCTAAGTAAGTTCCTTTTTGTTCTGACTCAGAAATGGTTTGCTTGAAATGCCAGGTTAACAGGCATCGTCAGATCCCACACTCCTCCTTAATAGCTTGTGCTCCACAGGAAGGCCCGGTGTGACTCCTGGATGGAGATGCTTGTGATGAACTTACTGTTTGACAGCTGGCTGCTCGTCCTTTGGTCTCACTGGGAGGCATGTGTAGCTGGGCAGAAACTCAGCTGCCACTGGGGACTCTTGCGGCTCCACCTGCAGCTCATGGCAGCGAGACACCGGCAACCTCTGTCCGCTACCACTCTGACAGGGCGGGAAGGTGGGCTAAGTTTCTGACTGACCGGGGCACCATTCGGCCTCCAGTCACATTCCTTGCTTCAAACTGAAATTCAGTTTAGCTTTGAGTGTACGGACACATGGTGGTGGATTCATCTACTTCAGTGTTTGTTCTGACCAAAAAGTTTATTTTTCTAGTGCATTTTCTAAGTCAAAGTGGTGAAAACATGTAACTTTAGTATGCATGACCAGGTCTTAAACAATAAAAATCCCTGTAAGCTTATGTGTGGAGTTCTTTTGTGACGACGACAGTTTGGACAGAGGCTCTGAAATTTTTATTCACGGTCCGTGATGGCTTGGCCCTGTGGCAACACTGTGCACCTGCAGACTTGGGGCTGGCCGCCTCTGAAGGTCATGTGCACTTAGAAGGCCCCAGTGTATACAGAGAATGGCACTCACTGCACACAGTGGTAGAGACAACATGCAAATGTTTCGGTTCATAAGGCCCAGCGGTTCTTTCTGGAGGGGGCTTCAATTCTTCCAGGGCTAGCTAACAGTTCCTCGTGCCAGGAAGGGCTGGGCATCCATTACATTAAATGTTTCACATAAATAATCTCATTTAATCTTTAGCTTACGTAATTAATAGTACTGCCCCTGTGAGGGAAACGAGGCACAAGGAAGTTAAGCACTTGCCCAAGGACACACAGCAAGTCAAGTAGTGGAGCTGGGTTTCAAAACCAGGTAGTTGGACTGGAGCCCACTTTCTCCTGCTGGTTAGAGCCAGGCCGTGCATGACTTTTACTAGTAAGTCATTCACCCCCAGATGGAACACAGAGGGAAAGAAGGGAGAGGTTTCTATAGGGGAAGAAAATATCAGTCTAAAAGTTAAGATTGTTTTCTGGCTGCTAATAAAATGGAGGTTCTTAACTGAGACACAGGCTATAATGGAACATTTTAGTCCGGAAGCGCGTAGAAGTGAACCCAGACTCCCTGAGGGGTAACTAGGTGTGGCTCGATCAACTCTGGCCCCATGCGTGCTTAGCTGTTTCTCTTCCCCTGCCCCATCTAGTTCTGTACAGAAGCATGCCATCTGTCCCCCAGGAGACAGGAGCCGGGTACCCACGGTGGGTCTGGTGTGTTCGTGATGGGTCAGTTAGGAAATACTCATGCACAACGTCCAGACGCTTACAGTTGACTTTGATGGTGCAACAGGTTAAGTACTCATACCGCAACATACCAGCTCTTCTGGTCAGCCTTCCTGAGGAAGCTGTGGCTCTAAACCGTCTATTTCTCACATCTGGAAAAATGGAACGAATGGTTCCAACCCATTACCGTGGCGTTACAAGGATCAACAGGTGCTTTCCCAGCCGTGGGAGTTACTTTCCATGTTGTATGTCACACTGAAATACCTCTTGGTTTTCTCCAGTGCCCGCTCTTCTCATAGCAGTGGTCTGGCACTACTAAAAGCAATGCAGTGAATGTGCCACGCTCCTGCATTTAAAGCTAGGGAACAAGATAATCCTCTAGGGTTGCCTTCTGAAAACATTTTTTAAGCCAAATGTTCACAACCTCTTACCTTGTAAGTTGCCAGCCCTTAGGGATACAATGACCATGAAGACAGTAGTTACTACTACCTTCAGGGGGGTGCTGATCTTCCTTGGTTGGTGAGAGGTAGTTTGACAGCCAAGTGACTCCCCTACACGTCTCTGGTTGTCCTGTCACCTGTATTCTTATGGGTCAAGAGACAACGTAGTCTAACTGAAAAAAGGAACTCTTAAGTCCTGGTTTCTCTGTTTGGTCTCTTACTGAGTAACTAGGGACAAGTTAAGTCTCAGTCTGATCTGTAAAAGGGGGAGAAAAGTCACCACCTTCGGGGCGGGTGGACACACGCGGCTATTCTGTGGTAGCTGCTCTTCTTCTTCACATGAGGATACAGGCATCGGGTGGCTTTGGTCACTCAGCGGTAATCAGGGCACCACTGAGGAGGCTGTCTGATTTGGGCCCCCAGGTAACAGGATGGATAGAACACAAGAGGAGTAAAGAAATGAGCAGCAGCTCTCACTAACAGGCAGAGGCCTGGTATCTGCCATCAGATACCTATTCCTATTACTGAATACGCACTTGAGCTTGCATGTGTGAAAAGGAAAGGACTTGAAATGGACAGGAAGCTGTGCTGGTTTAAGTCAGGTGTGAATTACAGCGTGGTCCAGAACATCTAAGGCAGCGAGAACCAAGCCCATGGCCATTCTTTGGCAGTATCCTTGACTGATAAGAGAAACTTTTATTTCCCAACCAAGCCACCTAGAGAGTAAACACCCAGCAGGGACCGCAGGGGCCTATAAGCCCTCCCCCAGCTCCAACCAGGTAGAAGTGGCAGCCCCTGCTGCTGCCTGTGATGAGTTCCTAGACCATACTGCTGACTTCAGCCAGCGCCGTCAATCTGCAATCCTGAAGGACAGACCGGCCCATTCATGGTGAGGAAACACCAGGTGACTTCTCTGGAATGAGATGACACCATGAGGTCTGATCTGATGATTCAAAATATTCTCCTGCTTTCAAGTATGATCCTGGGCTTATTCAACATGCTGACATTATTTATGCTTGTGAATAATTCAGCATTCATGTGTACAATTCACAGGAGTCTTGAGTAATACTGGGTTTCCTGGCAACAGACCAACTTATTCTTAGAGTACAGCCAAGCAAATAGGAAGACTGCTCCCTAATTTTCAAAGGAAATTTGTTATTTCAAATTAATATCAAAGTTATCATCATGAGTAAAAATAAGAACTTTATTGGACTCTGTTACACTTATGTTACAACTTAGTATTGCTTTATTTTGCATTACATAAGGTGGATGTTACACTGTCACGTTTAGGACATTTAAAGGTCTTAATGTGGCTACCCTTGCTATTAAGGAAAAGGGTGTGTGCTTTATACTGGCAAAGTAAAGGGCTAAACCTCCCCTTTCTGCCCCCCAATTCCCTTGCAACTTTATCTCTATACCTTGATATAAAGCACTATTTTAAAACGTGGTGGTTCCAACAATTCATACCAAGTCCTGCTTCCCTACTACCCTGCCCCCCCACCTCCATCCCAACTGAGATTGTGCCCTTTGTGTCCCTTCTGTTTAATTCTGTAAGGACACCTCACACCTCACCTCCACTAGCCTGTGGCTGAACACCTCTCACCTGTGAATGCGGTCTAGTCTCATTTTAGCCCACAGTGAGATCAGCAGCTCCCACCGGAGTGTTTACAATGCATTGAGCACTTTGGAAAGTAACTGTACTCTTTAAACAATCTTATGTACTAGGTTCTATCTTTTATTCAAGCGAGGAAAACGCTGAGGCTCAGAGTCACACAGTCACTGGCCAAGGTCATAAAGCATAGTATGTACTCAATAAATATTAGCCATCCAGTTTGACAGATAGACATGGCAAAGCTGGATACAAACCCAAACAGTCTGACTTCCAAGCCTATGTTCTTAGCCATTTTTTTAAAAATTTTTTTAAATGTTTTATTTATTTCTGAGAGAGAGAGACAGCGTGAGCAGGGGAGGGTCTGAGAGAGAGGGAGACACAGAATCTGAAACAGGCTCCAGGCTCTGGCTGTCAGCACAGAGCCCGACGCGGGGCTTGAACCCATTACCGGGAGATCATGACCTGAGCTGAAGTCAGATGCTTAACCGACTGAGCCACCCAGGTGCCTCTGTTCTTAGCCATTCTAAAGAGACCAACTCAAGCCTTCTGGTACAATTTGTTCTTCTTGTCTTTTACCACATAAATGGAACCCCGTGGACTCAGGTGATAGGAACCAGCATCACTCTGGAATCTGCCTTTCCCTGTATCTAATTAATTGCCAGCTTAAAAAATTTAAAAAAAATTTGTTTTTAAATGTTTATTTTTGAGAGAGAGAGACAGAGACAAAAGTGTTAGTGGGCAAAGGGTAGAGAGAGAGGGAGACAGGTATCAAAGCAGGCACTAGGCTCCAAGCTGTCAGCACAGAGCCCGATGTGGGGCTCAAACCCACGAACTGCGAGATCATGACCTAAGCCAGAGTCAGACGCTTAACTGACTGAGCCACCCAGGCACCCCTACCAGTTTTAAAATTTTAATCACTGAGTAGTAGCTCGCAGCTGTCAATTTCGCCCCTGCCTCACTTTCACTCCTCTGTTTCAAATGGTACATGGCCCACCCTGGTCTCCTCTCTAAATGCTTCTCTATGTGTCACCCGCAGTGAGTAAAGACCGTTTGTCTACGTCACTATGAATGTGTTCCCTGCTGCTCTCAATGTAAGGCTCAAACTCTTCCATGTGGGTTGCGAAGCCCTTTGTGACCTAGTCCCTGCCTCTTCTCCCCATTCCAGCCTTATTGAATGGGTTTTCATCTCCCTGCCTTCGATGTGCAGCTCTGTCTACCCCTCAGCAATGCCAGCCCACCTCCCCAGTTCTCCCTCAGCTAGCTCCTAACAATCCCTGGCCTAGATACCACTTCTTCCAGGAAGCCTACCAGGACACCCCCCCATTATCACCCCAGGCACCTCTCCTTTGGGTTCTCTGCAATTCCTCAGTCATAGCATTAATCACACCATGCTGCACACCTGTCAGCTCATTTTCGCCCTCCTCGAAACTCTAAGTCCAAGATGGTGGAGCTGGTGTCTGTCATGTTTAAAGTTGTATCCTTAAACCTGACAGGGCCTGGTATGGAACAGACACTCTGTCTATTCTACCTCCTTGTGTGCTACTTCTCCTGAAGAAGCTCCCTGACAGTGCCTGCCGTGCCTCTCTCTCATCTAGGTAAGTGTCTTATCCAGGAAAGATGACGAGTACAATTTTTGGATGAGTTCAAGCCTTTACTTACTAGCCAGACCTGACGTTTTAGAAGGGACAAGCATATTATGCTCAATGCTTGATAAACCCGACTGCTCATTTGTGTCTAAAAAAATACAGGATGGCTGCTAACTCATAAAAGCAGTAAAAAAAAAAAAGGGGGGGGGAAGAGGAGGGGGACTTCAAAGCTTAAATCTCTTTGTTTTAATCAAATAACTTTACAGTGCAAATATAAATTCACATGCATTTTACTTTTACATACTCATAACAAGGTAAGTACATAGACCTAAAGTCGCACTGCTTTCCCAAGTGAATCTTCATGTTAACCAAACCTACCAAGCGCTCGTGGAAAGCACTTCTGGCAAAGCTGGAACCACGGAGCATCAGGGCCGTAGTGTAAAACATGAAACGAACAGACTCAAGCTGTAGAAGCAGTAGCCAAGTCAGCCACCCTGCTC